GCGGGGGGCGGCGGGGGCAGCGCGGTGCCGGTCTGCGCGCAGTAGCCGGGGGCCAGGTACCCCCCGCCGTAGCCCGCCCCGTACTCGGGTGCCGCCGACGGGCCTCCACACGCATTGCCGGCGTAGAGGGGTTCAGGCAGGTTCCCGCCTAAAACCGGGGAGCCCCCGAGGCCCCCGGAGCCGCCCCCACTGCCCGACTTGGTTCCCGGGAGGCCCTCGTGGAGTGAGGCCAAGGGGTAGGGTGGCTCCGGCCCTGGCCAGGGCTCGGGGTCCCCCTTGGCGCCGTTGAGGAAGGCGGCGTCGCCATAGCCGCCCAGCGCGGGGCGCTCGTAGGGAGAGTCCAGGACCCCTGAGTACTTCTCTGCGTAGCGCTTGAGGAGGTTGGAGGCTGTGAGGGCAGAGATGTCGTCGTGTGCCCAAGCATAGTGGCAGCGCTGGCGACCCCCAGGGGGCAGCTCCAACTTGTGGGCCGGCGACGGGGTAGTGGAGGAGACGTCCAGGTGCTGCTCTGGCCACTGGTTGAGGGACTGGGCGTGTTCCGGTGTCCAGTGCATCTTCGACAGAACTGCAGGCGAGAGGGAGAGAGGCGGCTAGAGCGGTCCTGCAGGGCCTCTGAGGGGCCGCCGGCCACAGGCCAGCCCGCTTTCCACCACCCCCCACCCCCGTGCCACCCTCCGGGGCCTCCCTTCGGCAGACACCACATTCACAGTACTTGCCTTGGCGGGCACGGCCCAGGATCAAAGCTATCTGAAAACGCTTTCCTCAGAGAGGTCTGGAAACGATATGTTTGACCCTAACTTCACCTTAGGGGCAATATGATGATGATTTTGTCCCAGCCACACGAGCCCTGCCCTCTACAACACCTGGTCCTTACTTTCGAACCTAATGTAGCTAAGGGTCAGGCGATGAGTGAGACGCCCGGCCCCTGGAACTAGGCAAACCCAGGTGGGGCTCCTTCAGTAAGGCGCGTTTGCCGCACACCCACCATGTGCTAGGCTTACAGAGACACTAGGTTTGTATGAAGATGGATGGCCCCGCAGTTTGATAGTCCTACCTGTGCCGTTCACCCCAGCCCACCCTGAGATTCCAGGGCCCCCTTTGGGCCTGAAGTCAGAGACTCCAGTGTGTGGGAGCAGTGCCCTGTGGTCCCTGGGAAAGCCCAGGGACTGACCCAGAAGCATTCACTTCCTTTCCACTTAGTTTCTTTCAGTCTCTGCCTGATGCAGTCAGAGCACCTGGGTTCCAGAACCCCCCTGCACATGCTGGCTGTGTGCCCAGGCAGGGGCCGCCATCTGCCTCGTGCCCCGGATGCTTTCCACCACGATACAGAACCGTTATTCAGAAGAGGCAAATCCTATTCCAGAGAAGATGGGGAAAAGTTAGGACACGTCACAGCCAGCCATGCCATAAACGTGGCAGAAACGTTCCACAGAAGTTTCTTACACTGGCCTTGAGCACCAGCCAAGGCATGAGCCAAACACTGGTAAAAAGGGATTCAGGGCCTGGGGAAAAACACTTTACAGGCGCATGGCTCCAATGGGTTGGCCCGTTCTGAGGATTAAATCTCAAAGACTAAATGGGCCCGTGGCATGCCAGAGGCGGTTTTTGCTAATGACTATTTCTCAAACCTAAGCTTTTGATAAGATGTGTTAAACGGACAGGTTCAGTATTCTTTGTTCAAATTTTTATTGGGCAAATAGCGTTGTGCTAGGCAAGGGGGCAGGTTGAAAGGCAATACGATGGTTTAGACAGGTGAAAAGGACAGGCAGACAACATCCTTTGTGAGGTGGGAAAATAGAAGCATGTGCCAGGGGCTCTGGAGCTCAGGGAAATGCGCCCTGCCTGGTTGAGAAGACCTCAGCAGGGAGGTGGTGTCTTTACTGGACCTTGAAAGGTGAGGGGCCAAGTCGGCAGGGCAGGCTAGAGGGTTCCAGCACAATGCATTCTGAAAGCCAGGGCCGTGCTAGCTCACACGCCCTATTCCTTCCTCAAGACCCTTTACTGCCACCTTCTGGAAAACTTAAGATAAATCTACAAACCTCCCGTGTCCATGGGGTGAATCATGCCCCTTTAGAAGGGCTCATGTTCATTGTGCAGCCCGCATAACTGTACACTGCAAGCCTGGTGGGAGTGCTAAGAAGCGCGGCGTCACCGGAGCCTTGGAAGTGGGTGTGTATGGGGGGTAGAAGAGGCTGCAGATCAAGTGGCTTCTGGGGTTCTCCACAGTTGTCCTTACTTGCAGCGGCTTGTTGACAACACCACCTCTGTTGGTCTCACTACTGCCTATGGCTGTGCCCTGCTGTCAATGGGAGGGGACACTCTTTGAAAATAAAACTATATTCTCATCCCCACTGCCCTAAGGAAGGCGTGAGCCATAGATACTAAAGCTAAAAAGGGAAGTAGAGTTCTTTGAGGTTGTTTGGCCTCCGTCTGAGAGGTGACCCTGGCCACCAATGGCAAGAGGTTCGGAGCAGAGACGACAGACCTGAGAGGGAGGTCTGCGGAAGGCAGGGACGCCGCTCTCCAGCTCCTGCTGAGGAGGGGTCCCCCCAGAACAGAGGCATTACCTAGTATCAGAGGGGGTGATTCCCCGGGACATCAGAAATCACAAGTGGTTCTGGTTTGCAGGGTTATATGAGGTAACATCAGAGTTCTACAAATGCGGGGCGCCTGGCTGGCTCAGTCGGTTAAGCATGTGATCTTGATTTCAGCTCAGGTCTTGATCTGAGGGTCCTGAGATCAGGCCCCACATTGCGCTCTATGCTCAGTGGTTAGTCTGCTTGAGATTCTCTCTCCCTCTTCCCCAACCCCGTGCTCATTCTCTCTCTCTCTCAAAGAAATCTTAAAAAAAAAAAAAATTCTCCAAATGCAAATACTCTGTTGTGACATGGACCCCAAAACTGTTTTGTTTTTTCTATTTACTATGATCTGTGCTTTGGCTCCTTAATATGGAGAAAAGAGATTTGACCTTAATCACACATCCCCCTAGCATGCTGGGGAAAAAAGCGTGACCCCGTCCCAGAAGGACACAGACACAGTAAAGAAAACTCTGGATCTGGACTTAGCCACACACACTTCCTTCACCCCCTGCCAGACCCTCTGCTCCCCCTCGTCTCTGTTATGTGGTATCCTCCCTGCCCCTCTCACTCAGCTCCTGCCGTGGCCTCAGCCCTCTCCACTCAAGTCCCCACCCTCAAGACCAAATACTCAGGCCTGGTCATCACTGAACCGCTCCATCTCAGCAATTGTGCACTCAGGGAACCCACCCCCAGCTCTCCAAACCTGCCGCCCAACTTCATGCCCACTCTCCTGCTCCGAGATTCGCCCCTTCCAGGCGCCTCCCAGCCCCTCCCTCGAAGGGCCCTGTCCATGGCCACTCATGCTGCCCAGATACTGGCCCTTCCATTACAGGTAATTCGCTGCCCATTTTAGTCAGGGGCACGGCTCCCTCACTTCTGGCCTTCCGTTTTCACCTTCATCTACATCCACTTCGCAGCCCAGTATACCTGGAGGGGCCATCCACCCCAGCCCTTGACCACAGTCCAGCCCAGGCTGGGACCTTGCTCCATCCATTAACTACTCCACCCCTCTACTGTGCCGTTTCCCTCCCCACAGCAAGCTCAATTCTTTCCCACCTCCGGAAAGACCTCCTGGATCCTATGTCCCCCACTAGCTTCCAGCCCATCTCTCTGCCCTTTCTCCTTCACCCTATGGCCCCTGCTAGAGGTCCTTTAGACCACTCACTGGGGCGCGGGGGACCAGGTCAGCAAGTTCTGCTGAACTTAGTCACATAGACTGCATCTGGAGACTTCCTCTCACCTCTTCCAAGGGAAAGAACAAAGGTCTGGCCACAGCCAAGCTGCCCAAGGAGCAGGCTCAAGCAGGGAAAGGAGAGGAGGACAGCAGTTTGCAGGAGAGGGCAGGAGGGGAGGTTGCCTGACCTGCACACAGGCTGAGAATGCTGGCCTACGTGAGCCTGAGGACACCCCCGCACGCATGCCCCTACCGCTGGGAACAGCACGATGTGCACAGCTGCAGGCCCCGTGCGTATGTGTGCGCGTGTGCATGAACATAGACACACTCTGTCTCGAGCTTGCGGTGCAGCCTCAGTTGGATGACTCCTGACACACCCATGGCCTTGCCTTCTTCCCCTTCCAGACTCAGGGGGTTGGGGAGGGAAGCCGGGGGGTAGACCCTGCTGTCCCCCTGCCCCCACCCCCAGGCCAGTTACAGCCCTCCTGATCTCACGCGGAGACCCTGGGCCTGCTTGTGGCCCAGCCCACAAGCTCCTGCCATTCAGCCTCCTGCATCTGGAGGGGTCTCCTTCCCACTACATAGGCCATACTCCAGTGCCCCTCATCAGCTGAGATGGAAGTAAGGCCAGGCCCCAGGGATTTGTGTTAGGTGTGGGCTTTGAATCAGCAAGACCTGCGTTTGAATCCAGGCTCAGACACCTACTCTGTGACCCTGAGCAGATTACCTGGCCTCACTAAACCTTAATTTCTCCATCTGTGAAAGTGCATAACCTATGCCTTGTAGAGTGGCCACAAAGATTTAAAAAGGTAATGTGTGTAAAATATGGAGTCCTGTGTGGGGTACAAAATAATATGATACATGGTACAATTAAGAACCCAAGCAGGGGTGCCTGGGTGGCTCAATTGGTTAAGCGACTGCCTTCGGCTCAGGTCATGATCCTGGAGTCCCTGGATCAAGTCCCGCATCGGGCTCCCTGCTCAGCGAGGAGCCTGCTTCTCCCTCTGACCCTCCCCCCTCTCATGTACTCTCTCTCTCTCTCATTCTCGCTCTCTCAAATAAATAAATAAATCTTTAAAAAAAGAACCCAAGCAGTGGCCTCACCATGCTGAGTGACTCCGAGTAACTCCCCTTGGGGTTGGGGGAACTTGGAAAATGTTCTGAGGGAGGTTCCTTTCAGCTCTGATGGGACAGATGGCCCCTCATGCCATTTCCCCAGCACCCCAGCACGAGGGGCAGAGCCAGACCCTTTTCTGTGCCTTCCGTGCATTATCTTATGTAGCCTTCACAATGGCTCTGTGAGATAACTATTGTTACCATCTCCATTTTACAGATGAGGAGACTAAGGTACAGGGAGAGGAGATTAATACATCCCAAGGTCACACAGCTGTCACACAGTGGAGCAGGATTCAGACCCCAGTAGTATGACCACAGAGCCCAGGCCCTTACTCTTGCCCACACCGCCTCCCTGGTCTAGCCCTTGGTTCTCGCAGCCAGAGAAGAACCCGAAGCCTTGACAGCTTTTATCAATGCTCATTTCCTTGGTCCTATGGAAACACGTTTCTGTATTTGCCTGGGGACGCAGCTGTACCTCGGGTGCTGGGTATCTACCCTTCAGATCTGCAGTTGAAAACACCTACCCCCTGGGGGATCCCAAGCTTTGCTCCCCAAGCAGGAGAATTTGTGGCTTCATTGCAAAACAGCCCAGGAGAAGCTGTCCCTTACAAGCACTCACTGCCGGAGGCTGGGCAGACAGGTCTTTACTTGAGTCTGCGACCTTCCCTGGGGCTGGCTGGGGCCCTGGAGAAAACGCAACTCTC